TAAACCACACACTTGAGGTGTCATTGTCTCTCCTATTACCCCGAGATGGGACCGTCTGGTTGCAGAAAATCAAGCTCGGTGCTGTGGTAAGTCGTCATTTTCATGCACTTTGAATTTGCGTTGCATCGTATTTTGAAGGCATTAAACATTGCCATAGCGATCGGAGTGTTGCGGCCAGATTAGACGCTCCTTGTGTTTATTATTATATTTCGAAAACACCACAATTTTCATGCAGCTCATACCATATTATTTTGTTGTATTATTTCCGCCACACCTTAAATGCCGGTCCCTGAAAATATTGTCGGACATATATCGGTCCGTGGGGCAAAAAAGGTTGGGGGCCCCTGTCTTAGAGGAATCCCCCCCTGACTTCTGACAACACAGCTCTTTTAAGGTGTGTTGTCATACAAAAATTGTTATGATCCCGGCAACGATCCGTCTGCCGTCTCTGTCCACCTAGGTCTCAGAGTCAAACGACGAGGTCTGTCCACAATTTGGCTACCGTCCCAAAAGAGTCTTGGTCGTTGGTCTGCTGGTCCGTGTACAGATTTGTCCACCAAATCTATTCTTGCATTTGCACAGAAAGCAGTGGCAGTGAACGGGCACCATAAAGAGTTTTTGTTTTTCTGGTTGGATTGGCAAGCTAATTGATCCAATTAAAGCTTTACATTCTGGTTCCGAGTTAGAGAAGGTTCTGCAGAGACGAATGCTCATGCGAGGCCTCCTTTAATAGGCCTAGTCTGACATCTAGTGGTTAAAAAGCAACACTTTCAACCATCCACTGGCATGAGTACAGTACGATAATGCCGAAGAGAATCAGTGCTGTAAATTGGGTGTTCGTTTGAGACAAATTAGTTTGATACCAATATAAGATTACATTTGCTTTCAATGAAACTGACTTGGTTTAAACATGAGTTTTATATCAACTCTTAAAAGTGTCTCAAAGTGAGAGACAGAGTAAACTTCCTGCATTTTTTTTATATAAAGTGTATGACGCCAAACAGGGAAATGGCGCAATACAAATTTTTTATTTTCCCCAAAGTTATCTAAAGCAACAAGAAACGATCTTCCTTTCAGTATGGTTTAAAAAATAGCATTGGTATAGCACTGGTTGTGGTTAAAGAAATTTTTTTAAAAGTTTTTAACGTTACAGTATGTATGTAGTGAAAATAGTGCAGCCTACAGCCAAGTTGAGACCATCCTGTGCAGAGTATGATTAAAAAAAATCTGATTCAACAGTTGAAAGACATAGCACACAAATTCATCATCTTTTAAAATAACTGCGATGTGGTATTTACCATTTCGTGTGTTCTTGTTTAAAAAAAACGTACAATTTGGAATTGCTTCCATTTGGAACAAGTTGTTTCTTTTTGCCACTTGTGGTACTGCATGTACTAGCTCTCCTATATTTACTGTATTTTTTTTTTTTTTTTGATGAGTTTAGAGTTCTGCAAGAAGAAACACATTTCAAATTTGGGTCTTAAGCGGAGAGTGCGGGGAAAATCGCTGATTTCCGGGAATGTGGGCATCAATAAAACAGGGAAAAAAAAAACAAGACACAATGACGTACTTTAAAGGCATGTTATCATGTGAAGTAAGAGTAAAATTCCCAGATTTCTCCAGCATGGGCGTGTCTTCTTCAAATTGTCTGACAGCGCCGTTGCACCATGTGGGATTTCCCAAGACATTTGCACCTCCTTCTTTATGATACTTGATGCCCGCCTTCTCTTTTACTCCCACCGACACTTCCAGACACCCAGATAACACGCAGAGAAGAAGACGCAAGTAGGTAAGCAGCCGTGGACTTATTATTATTATTTGTTTGCATATATTTTTTTTCATTTTGTGCTTTAAATCCCTATTATTTGGCAAGAAATTACCTCAATAGATGCTCAGAATGTAGTTTTGGATTTCAGGGATATAATTACAGTTGATATTTAACATCTCACATCTGGGAGTTTCTATTAGAGTTGGAAAACTTGTAAAAAGAGAAAAAGAATATTTAAGCATGCTTAGAGCGTTAACCGGAAGCAGACGTGATCATTGTGCAATGGTTGTTTTCTTTTTCACATATGAAAGAAAGATGTTTGGGCCGTGACTCAATGTAACAAGACAGCCCCCCCCCCAAAAAAAAAACACAGATTTCCGCTAAACACATTCTCACTTTCTTTCACAGTTGAAATCGAAGTGGTGCGAGATGCGAGCAACCATGGTAAGACTTCCCATTTCAACGTCTTGCTTCACTTCTCATGTCTCGTCTGAAGTTTTGTTTTTAGGTGCACCATTTGACGTGACACCAGACCCCAGCGTCATTCATTTTCAAAGCTCCGTGAAGTCACTTGAGTAATTACAACTCGGTTTCTGTTTTGGTTCATTTTCAGAGCCGTTCGTGTAATTTTATGAATGACCGTGGTGAAAAATAGAATGTTATTGAGGTTTCATTTCATTTCACTCTTTAGTAAAATGGTATTTCAATTGGTGTCCATAGATTGAATTAGTCAACACTTAGTGAACACTATAAATAATGTTTAATAAATAAAAATATGACTATAAACGATGTAAACTATAAACACTATGTGCATGTATGTTTTCGGAATTGTGCATTTTGTAGTTTTGTCCTTCAGGGAAGGAATCTTGACTTCCGACCCAAATGAAATGCCTTCCAATTCTCATAACAGTCGAATGATTCATCTCGATTTTTCCTGTGGATTTTTTTGTGTCGGAGCTCCTTCAGTTATCGCAGTCCGTTGAATGCATCTTTTTGGTTTTGTTTTTTTGGGCCTTTCCTTTGTTTTTATCTGGAAAATGTTTGAAAAGGAAAACAATTAAAAACTTGCACAGCCTCTTGGAATGGATTGTGTCAAAGTTCCAAGGATTGTTTTTGAGGTTGAAGGCTATGACTCGAAGAAATGGATTCCCACCATTAATCACAGTAAAAAAAATAAAATAATCAGCTTCTTTCGACTTCCTTCACATTTTTCTCACTGTGATGAATCTGTGCGATTACGATTGTTTTGTGTTTTGTCTCCCGCAGACAGAAACGCAGCTTTCCGTGACGGAAAGCTCCGCAGGAGTCACAGCTGTGCCGTTTCCAGCTGGCAATGACTCGAACTTCCTGGACTCGCCTTTTCGTTATCAACTCTTCCCCACGGCGTACGGCATCATCTTCATCGTGGGACTCTTTGCTAACATCTACGTCTTGTTTGTGCTACGCTGCCTACGAGAAGCCAAGGCCATGGGGGAAATCCGCATCTACATGACCAACCTAACCATCGCGGATCTCCTCTTCGTGTGCGCCCTCCCATTTTGGATTAGTTATTACGACCACCAAGGCACGTGGATCTACAAAGACTTCCTATGCCGCCTGACTGGCTCGTTGTTCTTCATCAACACCTACTGCTCCATCCTCTTCCTCGGCGCCATCAGCGTCAACCGGTACTGGGCGATCACCCGGCCGCTAGACGCGGCCTCGTCGGACCACAGGCGCCGCGGAATCGCTGTTTGCGTTGTCATCTGGTTGATGACCATCTCCATGGCTATTCCGTTTCTAACCAGTCCGGGCACCAACCAGGACGGCAACGTCACCCGCTGTTTCGAGGGCTACCAGAACGGGGACGACTCATCCAAAAGAGTTGTGGCCGCCATGCATTTCGCAATCATCGCAATGTTTTTTGTCGTTTTCATGCTCGTGGTGGTGTGTAACCTCCTCATCGCACGAGCTTTGTTCTCCCAAAGCGCTCCTCTGTCCGAGTTCAAGTCCGGAACGATTTTATCCAGGAAGTCCAACGTGACGATTTCCTCATCCAGGAGGCCCACGGGAGTAAAACGCAGAGCCGTGCAGATGCTCATGGCGGTGGTGGGCGTCTTCGTCCTGTGCTTCTTGCCTCATCACATCGTCCAAGGCTTCTGGACACTGGCGGTATTGCAGATCCAAAAAGGATGGGGCCATGTGGACTGGAATGGCGAGACCGTGCAGGCGCTCAACGACGCGCATCAGGTCACGCTGCTCCTCATGGGCCTCAACTGCATTCTGGATCCGGTGGTGTATTGTTTTGCCACCAGGAAGTTTCGACGCTTCATCATGGCTCATCTCAAGAGGCTGGTGAAGGGCGAGAGCTGCTCCCACACTGTGACCTCGCAAATATCTTTGGACAGTCGGCACCAGAGCCAGAGATTTCCCGATGAGCCTAACCAAGAGGAGCTCCACTGACTCAAACGTACCCCGGCGATGGCGTCCTAAACTAGCGGGTTACACCAGAAGTTCATGTTTTGTCGATCCTATCCATACAGCCGTTTTCCAGACCACTGAACATACGACCTGGAGGCGGTGCGGCCAAGCGGAAGGCAATCAAATGAAGAGATAAGACTGCTGGGAATAGGTTAATATAATATAGAGGAACAATGATTACAATTTTGCTTGTAAATGTAGACCAGTGCTTCTTTTAGGTAAGCAGAAAAAGACCTGCTGCTCCTGACCACAACCACTGCTTTTTTTTTTTTTTTTCATTTTTTTTAAAATATGTGCACACTGAATTGCACCAATCCGGCTTCCTGTGTGAATTATGCGGAGAGAAAAAGAAGAAGTTTTGCAAGCAGAAGTTTGTGAGATTCTTTGCAAGTCTGATTCTTTATCTGATGAGAATCCAGCAAGAGAACTGACGCAAAACAATTTTGCTCACAGTAGTCAAGTTAAAATGTAGTCAGTGCCATTTAATTTAATTGTATTTTATTTTTTTTTATTGTGTACAGCATTTCCCACCAGCCAAACGGGACGGCACAGAAATAATACTGCCTGAGTTGCGTTTTTTTTTTTTTTTCCCTTTCGGTGTCTGATATTGTGACATTTTCAGTTCCTTCGTGACTATTCCGAGGGAGTTCTCTGCATTAGAAAACTGTGAGCCTACATGTGATTTCAAGATGCTTGTGGTGTGTTTGTTTGTGATTTATAGTGACCAGTTTACCGGCAGTAAGCACAACCTGTGGACTACAGTTAGTCAGCAAGTGAGTTTCCACAAATGGGTGTATGAGTTGACATTCACATTCAGCCGATCTGTGGCTGCCTAATCAGATGTTCATGGCAGAACCGAGTACGTGTTGTTCTCAGTCCCGCCCGTGGGATCCAGTTCTGTGTAGGTTAGGTTCGTGCTTGAGTAATTCATGTACACGTGCCCCTCGTTCTCGGCCTGGGGAGGACCAGGACCCCCCCTGTGATGCAAAAAGGTGAACAATTAAAGACAGAATGTATATTTTTCTATGTAAAAATAAATAAATAAATACGTAATATCACACCCACCTGCTTCAACTGGAATTGGTATATATATATATATATATATTTTTTTTCAATCGAGCCGTACGTGTTAAAGAGCTCATTAACAGCGGACAACGTTTTGTATAAAAATTGAAAATAAATATTTATATTCAAACATCAGATCATTTGAAATGCATACATTATATTCATGTAAATTATGAAATATATAAAACTTTGCAACTTACTTTGGGTCCTTCTTTTCAGCTTTCGGAAAACCTGGTAAAATGTTTTGAAAAATAATTTTTTAAAAAACTGTTGGAAGTATTCCAAGTATTGTTTTAGTTATTTTCTGTTGTGCTGTTTTTGTACCTTTAGTTTCCATGTTGGCAGGACTCTCCTCGCCTCTAAGTCTTTGCCACCCGAGCCAAAACATGACGGCGATATTCATGATCAAGGCGAGAAGAGAGAGAACCAAGGCAGTTATTCCTACATTCGCTGTCAAAACAAATAAAGAGTTAAAAGAGAAAAAAGGAAGGTCAGATGTGTGTCAGTTTACATGTTGGTTGAAGAGTGATAAGTCGTTGATGAGGTCACGGCCAAGGCCGTGTCAAAAAAGCGTCACCACCAGCGCTGATAAGAGTTTTGCAACAGTGAAATCAAGTACAAGCATTTGTGGCACTCGTTTTCACACCAAATGTTAAAAGCAGGTATTGGTCGTCCAAAAAAAAAAAAAGTGTGAAATGTATAAAAATATCTCCAAAACACCTTTGAGTTGTTTAGTACAATAATCGCAAATGTGACCAAACTGCAGTATAAATATATTGTAGAACAACAGCATAAAAATGTGAAAATAGAAGTTCGAGTCACGTGAGGAAAAAAAAGTTATCTGACAGGAAAAAGCCAAGGTTAAAAAAATGAAGTCCTAATGTAATTGTAAGAAGTAAAAAAGTCATGTCACCAGGATAAGTTACGCCATTATTATTCATGGGTGTTGCAGACGATAAGTTTGGGGTCACCCGGGGCCAGAGCAGTTGCCACCAACCTATTGCATGAATGGAGATGATCAAGACCGCATGGCTGGGACTGACACTCTCAGTGAGATTTCTTTGAGCGAAGCAGCGGTACAGCCCGCTCTCCCGCGGCTCGCTCAGGATGAGAGTGCGCCCCTTGGCCACTTCCTGCCACCTCTCTTCCTCCTGTCGTTGCCAGGACCAATTGTCAAAGGTGGGCGAATTCGGCGCGCAGCAGTGTAGCCTGACCTTCTGACCCACTGCCACCGGGTAGTCCGGTGTGGCTGTCAGCTGCAGAGCAGGTAGAGTGCCTGGTGATGAGAAGAAAAGGAAGAAAAGGGAAATATGCCTTCTTTTGAAAGAAGTTTTGCTTTCTTTTTCGATAAAGCTTCTCGCTCCTGCTGGCGCCGCTGATTGACGTGTGGCTCGAGGGGTGGATCGTTGAACAGTTGGAGCTGAGTGCTTACCACTTCAAAACACAGAGGTAGGCTACATACCGGAAAACCAGCACAAGACAATACATGACTCTCTGGTGAAATCACAGTTCATCAAGCTCAAACAGCCAACGTCAAAAAGTCACATTTTATGAGAGTAAAATTGTTATGTGAGGAATACTCACGTTAATGGACTTAAGTTATGATGTCTTGAGAAAAAAAAAAGTCTTTTGACAAGAGGAAAGATATTGCAGATTTTTCAAGATTTAAAAAACAAATCTGTTTTCTTCAGGCAATTGTTTTTTTTTCCAGGAAAGAGAAAAATCTCGAGGTTATGGGCAAGTATTGATCCCAGTGCCTTATTTTAGTATCAGGAACTCATGGTGGCTGCCGATGGCAGTCTCAGATACTAAAGCAAAAAAAAAAAAAAAAAAAAAAAAAAAAAAACACATTTAAAATCCTCCCCCGCCGGAGCAGTTTGACACATTTTTTGTCATTGTGTAAAAAGAAATTCTATATATCAAAAGTACTAGAGTTATCGGTACTCTGTATCGATGAAAGTGAATACTTGGACTGGTATGGGTCTGAAAAAAAAGTGGAATTGAACGTCCTTAGTTTTGGCCAAAACTGTCGGCAAGGTCGGAGATTTTTTCTCTTTAATGGAAAAAAAAACAGTATTCTGAATTAAAGAAACTTTAAATCAATTTCCTTTTTTTGATGAAAAGGCACAATAATTGTTTATTTTTCTAGCAAAATAAGTCCTGAGACAATGAACTGGAAAAAAATAGCTCACTTGAGACAGCAAACATCTGGTACAAATAGCTAAATCCCGCTGACACGCTAATGTCAAAAACAATGCAGACACTAATAATTTCGTGTTGATATGAGCAATTAGCTCCGTTCACTTACGCCCCTGAATGAGACGCACGAGAGTCACATTAAGGTTTACCTTTTCCATTCATGTTGCCTGAATTGGCGATAAACTGTGCAGGCTGGAGCTTAACTGTTAAAACAATGGGAAACTTGTAAGAGCACTTCCATATCATAAGCGATGTTAGTAAATCTCCTTATTACCTGTGCAGAAGACATAGCATACGATGAGGCTGTGTGAGAGGGCCATGCTGTTGAGTGTGTCAATCAAAAGTGAGTCAAATGATGAGGATGGAGGAAGTGAGACAGGCAAAGAGACGAGAAGGGAAGTTTTGTGTTCCCTTGCGGGTGTTCCGTGATCAAATAAATCAGGTACAAAGAAACCCAAATGATGTTGGAGAGAAAATTATGATGAAAAATGTTGTGTTTGATGTAGAAATGTTGCCCTTCCGGCCTGGTTGTACAAAGTCCATCAAGGATCAAGAATTATAGCGTACAGCGGCGGATTTTGGTGTGGCTGTGTGGCTGTGCATGTTTTTGCACTCAAAAATTAAATAAAAATTGTACCTAACTACATGATTTAAAACTAGTACAGTACCAGTATTCGTATAAAAAAATTCTCTTTGTTCACGAATAATTATGAAAACATAAGACAAAATAACACATTTCACTTCATCACGAACGACCAAATGGTTTTCACATTTAGAAAATGAAAAATTTTTTTAACTTGAATTTGAACTGTGCAGAGCAGCAGACTGTATATTCTTCCCGAGAAACACGAGTGTGTATTGGGATGAAATGACATCAGAACCACAGTAGCGATTTTGCTGGCAAAGAGAGCCCAGTTGAGTAAGATTGGTTTGTTAAAAAAAAAAAAAAAAAAGGGAAAAAAAGAGATCAATGGGAACTGTGCTGTGTCAGGCTGTCAGCAAAAGTGCGCCGAGTCAGTTTCGCCGATTAAACTGCCTCTGAATAGTCGTCTGTTAGATCTTTCCAGCCTATAATGGGCACTAGCTTAGCGGCTAGCTGCTGGCTAACGCTGTAATCGAAGTACTCAAATCGTTCAAGGACTTGTTTCTGCCCGAATGTATTGTACTTAAACATGACATACATCTGAGTTGACCTGAACAAATGTACTGTACTGTATTGAAAGTAATTTAATCCACTGTAACATGATGCATCGTTACCACGAGAGCGGCCACACTTTGAGAAAGTCTGGTTTATTTTTTTCGTTTTTGAAAACTTTGGGGAAAAAAACCCTTCAAGAGCCCTAAAGTCCTGAATTTAATACAGTTTCAACATTTTAAGCTGTTTCCGTCACATCAGTGTAAGAGCAGAGCTGGAGGGCAGTAAAAAGTCGACATGAGTCAACTTTTAATAGTAAGCACTCAAGGCTGAAGTCTTATCATCACCACATTCGCTGTCAAAACACTTCCTACATGTGGTCACCTTCAGGCTCAGTCTGTGATGGAAAGCTCAGATTGTTGACCATCTGGAATCCAAAGCTCACACCTTAGGCAAGCCAAGCTGAGAATCGGCATCAGCCTCAAAAAAGCCATTGGATGGGCCCTAAATAATGGTCAGGTGCACCCCTAGTCCTCACAGAAACATGCCGTTAAGGCACATCGTGAAGAGTTTCCTCATTTAATTACTTTGGTTTCTTGGCGTTTTCAGGATTTTGTTTGTGTTTTGGATTTAGTTTTTCCAGTGTTCCCATGTAAGGATTTTTATTAATATATCTTGTTCATTACACACTATTTCCCCTGCCTCCCTGCATTTTTTTTATACCACTACCATCTTGCAACATGACAAAATCCATCAAATGCTCACCAAGAAGTGGCCGTGACTTCTTCCTAATAAACTTGGACCAGAGGGGACAGCTGACCATATCACAGCGTGAAGCTAAGATAAATAGTCATGCACTCATCATATGTGTGTGCAACGTGTTCAGTCATTATTCATCATCATTATTTCATGACTCATTACACATTCGTTCATTATTCTGCCTGCCCCAGATGTGCCACAGTCATGCCTGTTGAATCTCACATTACCACTGAAGCAGTTTGTGTGTGTGTGTGTGAACAAATTTTGTATTTTAGTTGATGCCTTTCATGTGCTAATGATCCATATTATCTAGAGGGTGCAGCACCTGCCCCTGGTTGTAACATGTGGGGTTTCGTCAGACAATAAAATGTTTTCCACACAGAAAAAAAAAATCTTGATTATATTTTTAAATCTGAATTAATTCTAATTAATCTAACAATCCACATCAAAGAACAAAAGCGGGAACAAAAAAAAAGTTTCTTTTTACAAAGACACTTGTCAGTGACCGTATTTATTTTGACCACCAGAGGGTGCTCACTACCTTTTAACTCAGCCTCCTTTGAGCTGCTTGTCTTGCCGCAGGGGAGGTTGTTCCTTGTCTTTAACTCGGTTTGTGTGTTGCTGGACAAACCAGAAAGTACAATATTTGGTTCGTGTACTCATACTCAGTAATAGTAGCTGTAGTACAGGTCGCTGATTCGTGTAAAATAAATAAATAAACACACACACACACACACACACACACACACACACACACACACACACACACACACACACACACGATTGAGACTTAAATTCGAATTTTGGGCTCAATGACTAATTTAGTCTATTCATTTGGCTATTCATGGAAGGACTCTTTGTCAAGCCAAAAGTCCGACTGTTTATTTTACTGGGAAACGAAAACCAATTCTGAGTTGTTTTCCTGACCCCATTGCTGCTGGGTCACTGTGAATTGTTAACAGATTGAGTTACTTTTACCCAAGGTTGGGTTAATTATTTTAACCCAGCTGATTGGTTTGAAGATTGAATTTCGGTCGTCTGAAAAGGTGAAGATGCTTTTGACAATTTTACTGGACTGGGTTTAATAACTGAGCATTGGCTCGGCTCCTTTTCAGGACCCATTAGATTGGATGAAAAAGGTGACCCAGCGCTGGGTTTGCTTTTTCATCCAATTTGGGTTACTTTTGATTCAACGGTTTGAAGAGTGTGTTTCAAATGGTGTTATTAATGAACAATACTCTTGAAGGCCTATTTTTAAATGTATGTGTTTCCTGTCTTCAACGTGCCATCATGTACTATACATCCTGTACGCGTATACTAAAAGGTAAAACAACACTGGTTTTATTCGCTTTAAGCTCAAAGCAGCATTTTAACCTCACAACAACTGTTTCCCCTCCATTTCCCTCCATGGCCCTGCATTCACCCCGCGTGGCGCTTCCAAAATAATAACAGCACGGAAACGAGTGGCGGTGTGACACGAGACTTTGCAACAGCATGGAACAACGACAACAAGAGAACGGGCAGCGCTCGCGTCCAGATGGGCGCTTCCTGTGCCAGGCAGGAAATGGCACATTGCTCCGTGTCATATTTCATCACGGCACAAAACTGACACGATCATGCACATCGCAACCCCCTCGAATGGGGTGAACTGCAAATTCATTTGCAGTCTCTGCATGCTCCCCACTTGGGGTTGTTGTCAGAAAAGCATTCAAATTTTACGAGAGCTTGGACTTGGATCCAATTGCCAAATAAAATACAAGCTCTTACAGACATAACATACAAATATATTCACCCCCCATCGAGATGTATCACCTTCAACCTACTTCCTTGACACCAATTACATGGTGCCTTGAAACACGAGTTTAATTCATTCCGCGATCTATGCTCGTACTCAAAACAGCGATACCTTAAATCATCTTTTATGTCCGCACTGATGTCGTGATGATACTTGTGCGGCCCGCTTCGTCCCGCTACTCCGCCGCGCAGATGCTGCCCTCAACCTCGTGTTGAACAGATGTCGCGGGGAACATGATACCGTCCCAGCGCTTGAGCGGGGGACAAATTACCAAATGTGCGCACACACACACACGATGCAAATATAACCTTCAGATTACAGATGGCCCCTATCAGAGGATGCCGGCTGGATTTGCAAAGAGGTAAATACTGTGGGGGGTAATCCAACATGGGAGTTGGAGGGCCACGAAACAGATGGTACACATGTACATGTGCGTGCACTTGTGTCGGAGAAAAAGCACGATTTCACATTGGGATTATGTTTCATGTGTCGCAGATGAATTTGCGGACCGTCAGTGGATAATAACCTTTGACTCCTTACAATTTGTTTTCAAACCTCTGTTCGCTGAGGGTAGACGTTATTAGTCAATGCAGTGTTTCCCAATTTTTAATGAGCTAGGGCACACATTTTACTTTAGAAAAATAATTTGGTACATTGTCAAACTAATCACTCTCTTACGACTATATAATGGCAAAATGATGTGGACCGCATGGTTAAGACATGTGAACAGTAAAATAACAAAAGTGGTTAATACCACATGCTCCTTTATACGATATGCCTTGGGCAGATGCTAAGCTAACGTCTCGGGCCAACTCGAGGCATTCAAAAGGGACTCTCTTCCCTGCTAACATGGCCGCTAATTCTGTCCATCCATTGTTTTGATTGTTCAATCGCCCTTGCCATTATGACCGCTACAACGAAATGAACGAATGCCCTAGTCCACCGTGAAGTTTGTTAAATTATGACAACAGAGCAGTGCAAGTCAGAAGCACGAGACGAAACCCTTTCTACTGATGGTGAAACAGCGCCGTTCGGTGGCGACGTGGCGAATTGCCGCCAAATCTGGAACTAACTGACTTTTTGAATGGCTCAGGACAGAACACCGTTTGTTTGAATCCACCAGCTTTTCAAGCGAGGACTTTGGGTTTCACCTGTGAAAAGTGCAGTTGCGGTTAAGTAAACATGTAAGTCATGATGCAAAGCTGGAATTTTGAAGTTTTGTCCCACGATCATCTGTCAAAACTGAAGCCCAAATGTCTATAACAAGAACCGTTCCAATACTTTTGGAGGGGACCGTTTTGGCCTGTTTAATCAAATACAAAGCTATCATTGTGTTGTTTGAATGGCAACAAGTGAATTCACTGCTGAATCGTACTTTCTACTGGAAGCACATTTACAGGAACCGTTTTGCCTGTCACTACATGTCGTTGGCAGACTGTCGGCAGAGTCGAACAAACAGTAAATAAATAGTTTTTTTGTGAAAATGAAATTTGGAATAACTGAGTTAACAGAGTCGCACGCTTGGAGCGACCTTGGGCGCCACGCGAGCGAGCGCCGAGCCGACTAAGCGAACGCGAGCGTGCGCGTGTGACTTTCAACCTCGATTCCCCCCACGGCGACAAATATCAGACGGACAGGGAGGATGAGGAGGGAGGCGGGAGGCAAACTGCAAAACAAAGGCAAAGAGACAAGGGTGTTGACAAAGCAACCAAGGCCCGCGTTAACTCTCCCACTCCGAGAGGTCGCCGGGCCCGCTGGAACCGGCACGCCACGATACCATCCCGTGTTACGTTTCCCCTCCCACACACTACGCATGCTGCCGCTCACAGTCCCTTTGTCCTTGCCGTAATTTCATCTCCTCGTACGTCATTAGCAAGCGGGTGCCTAATGAATTTTCTTATCTCTGTGAATTCAGTGGCTGTTGTGATAACGCTCATTGTTTTCTCTTCTGCCATTCCCCACATTGGGAGGCGTACGTGAAAGAGAAGACGAAAAGGGAAACAGAGACAGAGACGAGCGGAATCTCTCATTTACACTACTGACAAAAAAAGTTCGGCATATTGGGCTTTTGAAGAAACTCAGAATAACCTTGACAGGTTCATTTATTTTGAGCTTCTCTCTACTTGTAATCGATAATCCACTACATTGACAAAAGTATTCGCTCACCTACCTTGAAAATCTTCTTACCTTTGTTCCGCCATTCGTTAACCTTTGCTGTAAAAAGTAATCAGGTCTGCGGGTAAACTGTCGCTTTCTAAGGTGCTTCTAAAGAATTGAAGGTAACACACTGTAACACACATCTACTCTCTCGATATATAAGCGTTAATGACAACATCATGGAGCCCGGAGCGTCTTTCTCTTTAAAGTAGTTAGTGACTTGGTGAACCGTGATGACCTTCTAGCACTGGTGTTAAGT